GAATTTATAACTACCAACAGAGAGGGTGCCGAGTCCCGAATGCGCTTATTGATTTTGTGATGACAGATGATACTTTGTCTTGTCCTCGTTTACCACCACACCCATTCGCTTGGTTTCCTTATCCAACTTGGAAAAGGCAGAACAGACTTTGCAGTCGCCCTATTTGAAACCTCGTTTGGTAGCAAACGGCTCGGAGAGGTCTTTCCCAATTCTGACGGAGCTGGTGGTATTGTTGAAGGTCATTTTATACAGCCGTATCAGTTTTGCGGTCAGGACAAATTCAGACATCTCGACATATAAGCAACTCCTTTTAGTGCAGTCAAAAGCGGCTTTGAAGTCGACAAATATTTAGTTAGTGAGTGTCGATCCATTTCTTGCGGGTCTTTTCCAGAATTTGGCGTTTTGTGATTACCTGGTCGATGGTGGATTTGCCAGGTGTGAAGCCACATTTCTAAGGCCCCATCAGTTCGTTGGCGGTTGGTTTCAGTCTTTCACACAATACATTCGATAAGACCTTGTAACCTATGCTTAGAAGGCTCACCCCGCGGTAGTTGGCGCGAATGGCGGGGTCACCTTTCTTGTGGATTGGGGGGCAGTGCATACTTAAGTTGCAATTGGTGGGCATGCGTTTATCTGTCAATTTTCTTTATAAGACTTGATGCATGCACCTAGCGAAACTGCTATATATATTCTTAGTCGAGAGGATGCACATCGACATAGCGTAAGATAGCACTAAATATTAATATACGTACAGGGGACACAATAACAGGATGCTTTAAAATTAATTGTCAAATTAGAAATTTATTGTATTGCAAAATTGCAAAAAGGAAATGACTTTTTTCTCGCATAAAAATAAGTTTGTTATTATTTTATTTTTACAAGCTTTTTTTTAACTTGCTGTGTGTGTACATATGTCTGTTTGTTGGGGTCAAACCTGACAAGCGGGTTTTGGCAAACTTCCCGATGGGAAAGAGACTACAATATACTTCAAAAACCTGTATCTATGATCTGATTTGGTTTAACTTTATAATACTTGTATATTACTTACATGCTGTCGAGATATTTCGAAACCCCGTATTTATGGCTGGTTGGTAGAAAGCTTATTCAAAATTTTATTTTTTATTATGTTGTAATAATGGGCACGTTCAGAAGGCGCAACAGCTCAGTAACTGTTGCGATTGCACCTTCTGAACGCGTTGTTTTGTACTTCTGACCAACTGAACAGTTGCGTGTGAGATGATCGTAATATTTTCTGATCATTTGAGAAAACATGTTCTGTGTTTTTGAATTTGACAGCTAAAGTATCAAGCCCTTCAGAAGACGCATTACGATCACTGATTTTTTAAACAACGGTTGCGCTCAACTGCTGCGCCTTCTGACTCAAGCATTTATGTTTTTCCTTATACATACAAAACCAAGATCCATAAAGAGCGCCAATGCCTGTTCAGTAGTGTACTGCCTAGGCAATGCATTTGGTGGTGTAGGAATACTATTTTTTTACTCATGAGTCGCACTGGATTTGCTAACGCAATTGATCTATTAAGTTTTTAACATACTTAATAAATAGATAATATGTCCGAAAGATGATCCGTGGTGATGCTGTCAGTAGCATATGCCAGCTTGCTTTTTCTTATGAAGATCGAGCGTTGATCTACAGGTTTTGTTGATCTCTCTCTAGTTCAATTACTTGACATACGAAACTAATATTCGCTAGACAGTTTTCATTCGTATTTACAAAATCAATCGTACAACCAATGGCGGCTTGCCATTGTACTATGGTTTAAGGGATCTCCAGAACCTTGCGGGGAAGGTGCCTCTGCCCGGCTGGTTGATCTCCTCGGAAAGGCAAATGCAGCTGCCACATAAATTCGGTGTTGGATTTGTGTTAGGATGAAGGCTCCGTTGCCGAGAATTTTCGTTCAACCCGGTGGATGAGCATCTTCAACATTTCGCTCATTTGCGCCCACGTTCCGACGGAAGAGCAGGACTATGAACCCAAAGATATCCACTGTCGGAAAATTCAGCTTCCAATTTGAAACGTCCGATAACGGTCTGAAGCTTATTGGCTTCGCCGGATCCCGAAACATGGTAGTATGCAGTACTAGGTTCCAGCATTAAAAGATTAATCAAGCCACGTGTTTTGGACGTGCGCAAACTACGAGGGCCAATCGTTGACTCGGACTTCTATATTATTGCAGCCGAGATACACAACCGTCTCTGTGCAGCAAAAAATGGGCGTTTAACAACGCAAGGCAAGCTCAACATCGAAAAGCGCCATTCGATTCTCACACCTCGTCCCAGAGGGAACTATTCAACAAACCGACATATCCGATCAGTGGAACAACATTTTCCACTCATAACATTTGATTTCGAAACCAGAGCGCACTCCTGTAAGAACAACCATTGCGACCTAGCAGAGTTGTGAAAAATGCATTAATTTTTGTAATGCATTAATGGTATTTAAAGCAATAATGTTAATGTAAAAAATGAATGCATTAAATTATGAAATTTAATGCAAATGAATATTTCAATGCATTAATTCGGAAAAATGTAATGCTAATGAATTATTTTTTTCATTAAATTATCCAAGCTAATGCTAATGAAACAATTGTAATGCACTAAAATGTTTAATACTTTTGCTCGTTTGCATTATTTAAAACCATTAATTTTTTTTTCTGATGAAATATAAATAACCTCTTTTGGAAAGACTTGGAATAATTACTAATAATTTTTTCAGCTTCATTATATTATGTGTATTTCTAGAAAAATTCTTCTAAACATTGTTAGATGTTTTATGAAAATAAAAGCCAATGTGCATGCAACTCAGAGTGTTTTTGTAGATTTTTATGTTGATTGTTGATGCATACCGATTACATACATTATGAGACAAAAACGGACAGATAGCCAATTTCGCAGCGCATGTACACGACTGAGGACCTACTCTGACCTAAATTAATCAATAAGACGCTTTTTAGTTCCATTAGACAATGTGTTTTTACATATTTAACGGCATTTAAGCCAGCCTTAACGTCCGTCACTATAATTTTTGACCTTAAAATTTTACCCTCACCATCAGCAAAGAATTTTTACTTCAAAATAAAAGTAGTTAATGGGTGTTTAATGCTTGTTATAATTTCAATGCAATAAATTATTGCAATAGCATTCATTTAGACATTTTAATGTTAATACAAAAAAATCATTAGCATTATTTCTTTGGAATTAATGCATTGAAATTTTCATTTACATTAAATATCAAAAATTAATGCATTAATTTTTTCCATTTACATTAAAATGCTATGCATGAAAAAATTTAATGCATTTTTCACAACTCTGCGACCAAGTGTGCATACTTAAACTATGGATGGTACCCTTTTGTAGGGCATTCGCACGAGACGATTTTACAGGCAACAAAAGTTGAATGAGAAGTTGAAAATGAAAAAGTTGCTATCCCTATTCAGACGGGGCGATTTTCGATTCAACACGAATTCTTATTTACATTATTTAAAATGAATTTAAATCGCAAAATTTTATCAATTGGCGTAAATTTGGTAAGCCAAGCGTTGGTAGAAGTGCTTTTAGCGAAGCTGAAAGATAAAATTTAAGTAAAAAAGTAAAAAGCAAAGTTGGCTGGCGACCAAATTTGTTGAAAGCGATTAGTTGAAAGGCCGTTCGGACGAGGCGATTTTTGCTTTCAACTAAAAGTTGTCTAAAAAATCGCCTCGTGCGAAAGCCCTATTCCACCCTATTAAGTGAGTGGTAGCAGCACTTAAATTTGTGGAGCAGACTAACCCAAACCCACAGCCGATGATGCTGAATCGATGTCCCATCGCCTGACTATGATGAGGTACGAATAGCAATTACGCGGCTGAAATCTAACAAAGCTGCTGAAGCTGACGGCCTGCCAGCTGAGCTATTAAGGTACGGCGGCGTGGAGTTAATAAGATGCACGCATTAAATATTTTACAGAATATAGCCAGATGAACGTAAGTATATCTGACAACTGGAATTTAACAAAAGCGACGCCGCCATATGGGGAAGGCGGTCTTATCGGGTGCATTGTGCAAAAGATTGAAGCCGAGTGAACGAACCGATTTTGCCTTACCAATGAAACCTTTCCAAAAACTAAAAACCATTCAGGCATTCATCATGCACGAAAAGGAGTTGCCTATACGTCGCTATGTCTGAATTTGGTATTCCCGCGAAACTGTCTGTGTAAAATAACGTTGAGCAATAGCACCAGCTCCATCAGAATTTGGAGGACCTCTTCAAGCCCATCAATACCAAACATGATTTCATAAAGGTGCGTGTTTTCTTTAATCTGATGTTGGATAAGAGCTGCAGAACTGCACCGCTCGGGAATTTTTTTTTGACCAATTAGAAACACTATTTTCATTGTCGATTGCATCGGCTCACTTACTGTTGGCAAAAGCTTGCTGGATACTAATATAGCCAAGTCATCAGCGTAGACAACTACCTTCGTTCTCCTTACGTAAAAGCTTTCTAATAGTTCATTTATAACCAAGATACAAGTAACGGGCGATACCACCTCTCCCTGTGGAGTGTATCTTCTTAATTTTATCACGATGCTTGTGCCTGCAGCTGCGCCAATTACTCTGTTTTTGAGCATCGACTCGATCCATGCTACCACAAACTGCTGGATATAGTTGTTGCTTCCGTCCTGACGTTGCTCAATGTACATGAAGCTGGCTAGGCTATAATTCCTATATTCCATAGACTTTTCCTTGCTACCGACCAATTCATGGAGGGCGCTTTTGACTGATCTAAGATTATGGTGGCGAACCTACTGACCTCGACGCCGAAATTTGTTACCAGGGCCAGACAGGAAGTTTTGACATCACCTTTAGCAAGATTTCGTGTAGCTCCCCGATCACAAAATGTTCGGTCCTGTCAGAGCCCTCCTTGTCCGACAACAGAATTATTCGGTTTACGATAGGGCTAAGGAAGGTCTCCTGAAGGGAGTGAACATGTGGAAGGGTATTATAATGTACGTAACTCCAGTGTCCCGAAATTAACCCAATCGGTAAGGGCAAAACCGTCTGGTGATTTTGGCAACCCTTGGCGCTAAGAAAAAGGATGCATAGGCTCATCACTAAGGTCAAACGCACAGGGCAATGGGACGAGCACTCGGCTTGTCTGATAGAGTACAATAAGAAGATTAGAAAGGCCAAAATAAACAGTTTTAGAACGTTCTGAGAGGGTCGTCCATCTACCTCTGAAGTAACTAGACAAGGGATTGAGACACAAAGCGGTGCCTATACAGTGCGAGAAGAGGGAAGGGCCTTTGCCTTGCTTTCCGCTCATTTTCCGGATGCCACTCCCGTTGAAAAGGTACTGAGATTTGAGAGTACAGACCTTCTCCAAGAGACTGGGCGATGGCATAGGTGACATTCACTCGGTTATCGGTCTCTGTGCTGTATCTATTCTAGGGATACGAATACTATAATGCAATCGGTGTTTGAAAAGTCTTTGCGATAAGAACACTTATTGGCTTAAGTAAAATCGTTTTTTGAGAAGTGATTTAGCTTTCCCGTTTCAAGAATAAATATCACACTGAGCTCCATCCAAGATTAGTGTATATACCGATCTTGCAAGCATCTTGTAAACAAGCTCGATAGATGGGGTACTAAGCCCAAGTGTTTGCAACATGTCTGGTATGAGACTTAAGCTAAATCCGTAATTTAAAATATTTTGGTTCCACTAATTTAATATCGTTGTTAAAAAAATAAATTAATCTATTTATATTACAAAAATTTTCATCTAATGAGTATTCGAATTTTCGATAACAACCGTCTTATCTTTTCGGCTTCTATCAAAACATGGGAAATAGTACCAACGCTGATGTCTTGCAAATTCTTCGCCATCCTTTAGCGTTTCTGGTAGTTTCCTAAAAATATAAATATACTTAAAAAAATGAAAAAGGTTAAGCACTATTTCACTTACTGATTTAACGTCTCCGGCAAGGCCAAACACAGCAGAGCCCCACACATCATAACCGCGGCAATGACAATCGAGGGCAGCGGCTTGTAGTAGTGACCCAAATAAATGATATACGAACTGAGCGAGGCGAAGCCATAGCCGATCACATGGATATTAGCCAAGCCACGGCCACGCACAGTTGTTGGTATGAATTCCGCTGCATATTGCGCTTCCGCATCATAACTCACAATCACGCCATAACGACCCAGAGAAACCATGATCGCCAACAGAACAGCGTTCTGTTCACGATCGAGGAAAGCGATCAAGAAACCAGTTATTGTAACAATAATTGCGCTAACAAAGAGCGAGCCGAAAGCCATGCCCTTACGACCAATACGATTTTGAAGTAGTATTATCGTGAAACCGCCAGGTATGTAGGCAATTGAGGTGAGCGAGAAGAGCAGAAAGGGTGATGAGCCCAAGCCTTCCATATTGCGGCTGATCACGTCGAAGGCGATGGTAATGATGACGCTGTGACATGAATATATTTAAGAAGAGCTTCTTACTTTAAAAAAATTTTATGTTGTTTTTTTTTTTTTTTACTTACGATTTTATCAACATTATTGTGGTGAATTTGCGCAGGCGCGGTGTGCGGAACATACCCCAAAAAGTGTCTTTATTCTTATTCAATTTGGTTTCCTCTGCCATTTTTTGCTCATAATATGTTCTGAATTGCGTGAATACGTCTTCCTCAACCACGCGACGATTAAATTTGGCCACGCGCTTTAAACAACTCACAGCGCGATCGTAGCGTTCTGTTGCTATAAGCCATTGCGCGCTCTCACAGATGAAGATCGGATAGATGAGCACAATGAGTGCAGGCAACGAAGCCACGTAGAGGTAATAACGCCAGCTGCCCACCCAAATGGCATACCAGGGTGACAGTATCAAGCCGAAGCAATAGAAAATGGCCGTTATGATGTTGAGACCGAATGTGCGCTTTTGCGGACTTAAGTACTCGAAAACTGTGTGTAAGATAAGTAAGTAAACTTATTTATCATACTATGTGCTTGAAAATAATATTCCACTCTACTCACCCATTATGTACATGAGATAGAAAACGGTATCCGTTGACAGTCCGGAAAAAAATCGGAATAGCGCAAAGGCTGGCAGTGCAGTGACAAAGGAAGTCAAGAAATCACCCAAAGCGCCGGTTAGTGTAGTGCAGATCAACGCTGGTAAGCGACCAATTCTATCAGCGAGAAAGCCGAAAAATATAGTGCCAATGATGGAGCCAACAAAGAAAAACGATTGTCCCACAGCAGCTTGGAATGCATCGTCACATACCCATTTGAGCTGAAAATGTAGCAGTTATTCGGTGGACATTATTATCGATGGCATGCTATGAGCAGCGATATTAATCGCGAAAGGTCCATTCAATAACTTTTCCAGTAAGTATTTGCAGCGAGAGCGTAAAAGAAAAATAGAGGGTGTTTAAGAGAGCACGCCATTTTGACTTTTTCTGGCGGTTAAGTTTGTATTTTCTTTTGTAATTGGGAATAGTTTCCATCGTCATAAAAATGGAAAAATATGGATACATTAGATTTAAATGGTTCTTTAATATTTTCATTTCACTAATTATGTTCAACCTCACTCTCATAACTCTCGGGCTGTTACGCTCTCACTTCGCTCTCTCTCTTGCAAGTTTTTTAGGTTTTTGAATACATTTCCAGTAAAAACTTGCAAGTATTAGTAACAATTCGTAAACTTTTTTTTTATATTGAATGTACCTGTATATTGCGCACCACTATTTATACAGGGTGGCGTTTTGTAAATTGCGTTGGTCATTTAATAAATAATTTTTAAAGCATATTTATAGGCTTTGACGTCTATATGAGATCGTGCGAATACAATGTAGCTAATCAAATTCACTCTTCGCTTAATAAATTGGATCTTATCTTATCGTAAACAAATTTAGATAATTTTTAGTGCTTACATCTGTTGTAATGCTGCGGTAATCGCTTTCGTAGTCGTATATCCACTCTCTGCAGTTTCCCACCGCCGAGACCACCGGCTGATCGTCGATGATATCCTCCAGGAGGGTGCATTGCGGATTTGCTGTTTGCCCATAAATGCTACGTATGTATGATATGCTGGCATTTGCTAATTTTTCGTGATAGCACCTGCATTTAGATAACAATTATTTTAGTTCTTCAAGTGCATAGTCGTAATGTAATATAAAGTGATAGGTAGATAATAAATAAAGATATGCCCTGCGACTTAGCCGATCCGACGCGCTGCTTTTGACGCACCGCTGCACTTACCGTATCTTCCGTGGGAAAGTCTGAAAGGCCAGCTACAGACTAAAAAGAAACGGATGTTGGAATAACACTGAGTGGGCGAGGAGAAAATTGCTGGCGGCAGAGATTCCAGCACTTTCGTCTTTTCAATATCAAAGGATAGTACGCCACCATTACCTTAGTTGAATGCTGGTTAAATTTCAGCACTGACACCGGACTCACACATTGTTGAATCCTCGTTGATAGCTCCAAAACTGACTCTGGGTCAGGATCTGGGGTCTTTATCCAAGATAATTGCGAGTAGCTTCACTTTTCTCTAGCGGTATATATTTTGATCTTCCAGGCTGAGGTATTTGCAATCCTCAAGGCCATGGACTACGTGGTAGAAAATTGGTTGAGGTGCAGGTGTTTGCGTATCTGCAGTGACAGCTAAGCTGCACTTAAGGTCATTTGTGAGGTCACTCGGGAGTACCTGGCAATCAGACATCTGCCCACTTGGCCAGAGTTGGCTGCTCAGAACAGGCATTCCTCGGTCCGGAACCAGTTATAGCACTCTCACATTTGGCCATCGATGACGAATACTTTGCTCAGCAATGATTGGGAGGCATCGAGGGGCTGCAGGTGCCCAAAATTAATGTTGCCTCCAGTCTCAGAAGGCCTATTTAGTTTTTTGGTCTCATTGAGCAGACGAGACAACAGACAACTTGATGGACTGCTGACCAGTCACTTTATGTGGCACAAATACTTAACTCTGATAGGCGTACAAAATGTAGGTGCTGTTTTCTGCACGCATTGTTTTGTGCCTGGTTTCGTCAAAAAAAGAAGAACGGAAGAATGCTCTCTAGCATTTACAAAACTTCATCGAGTCCTTCATTCCCCAGAAAATTTAGAAAAGCTTTGGGAGATAGAGAGTGTCTGTGCTTTTTCTTGGACACATTGAAGTCCCTTCACCAGACCACTAGTTTATGCAGGTTGCCTCTTAGTCTACAGCGTCTGGATACTCCAAAACCCTTGAAAGTTCCTATTTCGTTCCTGATTACATGAACCTTTGCCACTTCGAATTGGCTCCAAGTAGCTTTTTCTCTACGCCCATTCCCACAAGTAATGATTAAGTGGCTGGAGTATATCAGGCAGAATACTCGGGATTTGTGATTGGTTCGCGGCGTCGTTTGAGTAATGGTTTCCGTCTAAAATCCCATTGTACCACACTTGTACCAGTGTAGGACCATCGCAATCTAACTTAATTTACCTATGCAAGTATATGTCAGGGTTTAAAACTTCAGCCTGTTATGTTAAGTTCGGTAAGCCATTAGCCAGCTAATGACTAAGTACCAAGAGCAATGTTAGAGCGCATCACAGTCCTCTAGTTCACACCTTCTGCGCCTTCTGGGTCATGGACAGCTCCCGTTAAATCGCTTGGGGGGAGTTCCGCACTAACTCTATCAGCATAGTTTCCGATAGAGCGCCCCTACCAGTATGAGCAACTGCAGAGCTGCCCCGCACTCCGCGATTACACGCCTTTATAGCAGCCTGACTGTCGAAACAGAGATTCACCTGTTTAGTTGCAAGGTTGCTGCTCAATACTTTCGTCTGGAAAATTATGCAGTGGTACGGCAGCTATAGAATTTGAAACCAAGGTGCGCCCGCCCCTTATCCTTTATATAGACATTCACCGAACCAGCACTTCTCATGCCGCCACGTCAGCTTTCGACCTGTATAGTGGCTTCGAAGTTCTTCTTCAAGTGCAGATCCGGGATTATGTTGTCAATCCGTCCGAATAAAGTTAGCGCTATATTACTGTGTCCGTAGGACTTGCCCACAATCCACGCCGTAGCATAAAGCCTGGCAGCAGTTTTTGTTGCTACTTTTCTTGGCCGATAGGTCAGCTAGAAAGAGATGCAACGAGGTGTAAAGTGCTGCCCTTTGTGCATTTTCACAAAAAAATTATAGACCAGCATAGGCATGGTATTTAAGTAGGAGGGTCGTTTAACATGTCAGCGACTTTTTGAACTCCACGTCGAGTAATTTCAATCGCAGCACTACTCCTATAAACTCATACCATTAAATAGACTCCGGTCAAATCAGACACACTCGGGCCATGTATTTGTGCAGCCGTTATGACATGAGTTTATAAGCGGGGCCGCTAACCTTTTATTCCGATTTTGGAATGAAAAGGTCATCACTGACTTATCTGGACTGCCTTCATACTTTGCATTGACATACTTTTTCAAAATCCTCTCGCTTAGTGAAATTTTCGAGGATCAGTTGGCATGGCTTCTTCTTCTCTATTCATTCTTCATATGAAAGGCAATTTTTTCTACTAAATATATAACTCACCAATGCTCTGGCGTAAAACTAATTAAAGTTTGTGCAAAATAATGCATCGATGATAGAATATTTGTACAGCCATATAACAGCAATAACACGAACTGATAGCGCCCATAATTGCCGCATTTCTCCAATACTGTGTCGAAGTCCATTTTGCCAATTATCAATTAGAGATTTTAAAATTTTATTTTACAATATTTTCGTATGCTGTGTGAGCTCCGACTATTGCGACTCTACCCATTGCCACGCCAAAACCTTTTGGTAATTGCTGCGAAGCCGGTTTTCTATTTCAATTATAATATTCTAACCGTACTGTAAATCCTTGAATAAATAGAGCGTTTCATTGTGCCACACCGAAAATAAACGGTAGGATTTAGCGATTTGCTTATGCGCTTTATTGCATTTTGGAATTATCTGGCTGTATAACTAAGTTGTAAGTACATTAGGGTGGAACGGAAACGAAACAAAAAAATGCGTTTCGCATTCTAATAGCGGTGGATCATTCTTTTTGGGCGTCAAAGGCATACTCGTAAAATTTTTAGCTATCGGTTAATATTTAGATATTTTCTGCCTAGTTCTTTTGATGGGAATTTTTAGATTTTTGTAAATTCTAAACACATAACTTAATTGATCGAAATCGTCTTTAGAAAAATTTTAGTTATGCAGTCTTGTAGGCCATAAAATTTTAGAATAACAATGTGCAAGTTTGAAAACTTATAGTTTATTTCCACCTAACCGTATGCAGTTTATGTATATTAGAAAAACCAGGAAGGAGGTAGTTGGCCATAACAAAAACAAGCAGATGAACGGAAAAAAGCAAAAATTAAGAAATAAACCTTGCCGATCACTTCTTGTTCAATTACCCTTGATTTAAAAAATTATTTTGTTAAAAAATTGACAAAAATCAGCGGTATTTTGCATTTACTTTAAACTGCATACCCAGAATTTTTCTAAAAATGATTTTGATAAATTACGTTGATTATTTAGAATTTACAAAAATTTCAAAACTTCAATGAAACTATCAACATGAAAAGGGAGAGGTAGGAAGTATTAGCCGGTTACTAAAAAAACATACTTGGGATATTTTTCTGTCGTCCAAAGGCGACGGTGCGCCGTTCTTAAAATTTGGAAAACCAAAATTTTTTGTTTCCGTTCCACCTTAAGTGCATACATATGTACATATGTATTTGGATTTGTGTAGGTAAATATTTGTATGCGAGTGCTTAAAAATTGCACTTTTATAATTTCAAAACAATTTCAGCTTGTTATAAATCAATTCCAATTTTTCCAGTTTCTTGAACTGCTGACGGCATTTAGTGAGGTGTAACAGTGAGTAGGACGTTTTTGTTTTTTTTTTGTCCAAATATGTATGTATTTAAGATACTATTGACAGCGCTAAAATATCGATAACGACAGCAATATCTATCGGTCACAAAGTCGATAACGATAAAATACGTTCATTAAAGTGAACTAAAATTTTTTGTGACAACACTCCAGTAAAAATGGAAAAGTAATTTTAAGACATATGGCTTCATGTTTTTCGTTTTATGGCCACAAAGAAACAATTGATCGGAATGCTCGCTTAAAAGATCTTTTATTTCATTTGGGTCCTTGTTACATTTACATAGTATGTACATATAGTTCGCCTGTAGATGTGCAATACAGTTGTATTTTTTTGAAACGGGTTGCCACCTGTTACACATTTTATTAAAATTGTTTAATAAGCTTTGAAAATGTTTTACTTCTAAACGACACGTCGAAGGGTGGCCTCATTTTTAACAAATCAAATTCATTTTAATTAAGGGAATAAGTTAGCTGAAATATGTATATCAATATGGGTATCAGACAAAAGAAAATGTTGGACATATTAAGCAAGAAATAAATGCAGAGTAAAAACATTTCTGCGTTAATTTAAGAGGGCAGTAATTTAAAAGGATTGTAATCAGAACAAATCAGTGATTGACAATGTATGTATTTGTAATAAAATAACAATTGCGATGTCGTAAACCTTTGGTTTGACACAATTCTTATTTTAGTTTAACTAAATTTGACTATGCAAACGACTCTTTGTAATATTTGCAAGCCAAAACCTTCTTAAACCTATTTCAATGAATACCATAAGGCCTTTAATTTAAATGGAATTTGATTTCTTAAACAGGTGGCAACGCTCAACATGTAGTTAAGAAATAAACCCTGGCGGCATATAATTTGTTTTTTTTTTTTTAATTAATTTTAGTGGATATCAAAAATACCAAACACGTTAATATTGCAGACAACGAATTTTTAGATTTTTGCCTACTTAGGCGGCATTGTGCAACCGATGGGCACCGATAAAATATAAAGTCTAAATAAATATTAAATATTAGCTTGTTTGGTAAAGAGTGCGCAGAGGCACGTGTTCAAATAAATTTGTAAGGAGCATTAATTGTGTGAATTGTTTAAAAAAGATGATAGTACTCGTATGATAAAAAGCTTATAATAGTTGTGTACTTATGTACGTATATGCATGTATGTATATTTAGTTCTTTTGGTGAGGCTTTTTCTATTTTAATCGTTTATTAATAGAGCATATTTCCTTTATTTACATAATAAAGACAACATACATATCTATTGTATATAAAATACGCGAAGGGATTTTTTGTGCAGCGTAAAAGATCTGTACCGTACGCCCGATTTTCAAAAATGAGATGTCAAATTAAAGCGCTTGGCCTGTAGATGTGCAAACTGGTTTTATTTTTTCGAAAGGAGTTGCTACCTGATAAAAATTGCATTCAAATAATTTCCATCAATGCCATCAGATGCACACCGTCGCACGGATTTTCAAAAGTGAGGTACCAAATCAAAGGGCTCTAGATGTAGGTGTGCAATCAGGTTTAACATTTTCGAAAAGAGTAGCCAGTTTTTAAAAAATTAAGTTCAAATTATTTAAAAATCTAAACCAATTATTACAAAATGGGCATACATGGAAATAGTTTTGAAACTTTTTGTTTCTTAACTTAACTTTATGAGGGTTGCCACCTGTTAAAAAAAAAATCGAATTCAATTCGAATTAAGGGAGTTAGGTAATAGAGATATATATGGGTGCCAGACGATAAAGTTGAAGTACGTAGTAGTTTTTAAACATTTTGAAGAGGGTTGTCACCTGTTTGAAAAGTCTAATTTATATGAAGTATAAAAATATGGACGTCAAGCGAATGAATCTTAAGAGATCTTTAGTTTGAACGTTTAGAATATTTTTAAAGTGTTTGAAGAGGGCTGCCACCTGTTTAAAAATTAAATTCAAATTATTTAAATAGGTAAATCAGTTATTAAAAACAGGTATAAATCGAAAAGGTTTTATAACTTAACTTCGTATAGGAGGGTTGCCATATGTTAAAAAAATGTAAGTCAATTTTAATTAAAGGAATTTGGTATGTGAATAAGGTATCGCTAAATGGCGTATGATACAAAAGAGGTTTAAGAAGGTGGTAGTTTGGAAATATTACATGAAATATTAACGATGGATGTAAAATGAAAGAGCATCAAGAAATACATAGTTTGACAATTTAGAACATTTTTGATGTGTTTGAGGTTTGCCCAGTTTAAAGGGCTAAACTAAAATTATTTAATAACTTAAATGAATTACTAACCGATGGTGATCAATGGAAATGGGTTTAAAATCGTTTATTTAAGAACTATATTTAGGAGGGTTGCCACGTGTTTAAAAAATGAATTTCCACTTAATTCATCAGTTACTTGAAATATTTATAACAATGTCAGGCGAAAAATATTTAAGGAAATTTTAGTTCGAAAATAGTTATTAAGAGGGCTGCCTTTCAACATTTGTTTTTTTTTTTTGAAAAAATTAAGCTCAATTTATTTAATAAATTAAATGGATTGTCAAAAGATGGGTATCAAACTAAATGGGTTTAAAAATAGTTTATTTCTAAACTTTATTGACGAGAGTTTGCCATGTGCTTAAAAATACTAAAATCAACTTAATTCATCAGTTAATTGAAATATGTATAACAATGCCAGGCGAAAGATTTTAGTTTGAAAATACCTGTAAAGAGGTTTCCACCTGTTTGAAAAGTCGAATTTGTTTTACCTTTACAAAAGATACATAAATGAAATATAGAAATATTAGTGTCAANGTAAAGAGGTTTCCACCTGTTTGAAAAGTCGAATTTGTTTTACCTTTACAAAAGATACATAAATGAAATATAGAAATATTAGTGTCAAACGAAAGAGTTTTAAGAAAACTATGGGCTGATACAGTAGTTACTAAAATATCGCAGTTTTCGTATTTCTGGAAATTACCGTTATATGGGAAGTGGGCGTGGTTAAAGTCCGATTTCGCCCATTTTCAATACCAACCTACCTTGGATTAAGAGAAACCTACATACCAAGTTTCGTTGAGATATCTCAATTTTTGCTCGAGTTATCGTGTACACGGACAGACGGACAGACGGACAGACGGACGGACAGACAGACATGGCTTAATCGATTTCTTTTTTCATCCTGATCATTTATGTATACATTTGTATATATCTATCTCGATTCGTTTTGGCTGTTACAAACAACCGTTATGTGAACAAAATTAATATACCCTTGTGCACAAGTGCGCTCGGGTATAACAAAAACATGATCGTAAATATCAATGCGTCGCTGCCTAAAAGTATGCCTAAATTCGTACTTTATTGCAATGCTGGCAATATTGCTAGTATATCTTAACCCAGCAGAAAAATCTACTGATGCTATTATACTGGATACTAAATTAAGAAAAAAAAAATATTTATTTTGCCAATTGTGCTACTTTCTTTCGCTAACTTGAAGCAGCACGAAATTTATCAAAACTGGAGCTATCCTCATTAGAATCAGTGGGGCACTTAACATCATTCTTAAGGGCACTTACTGGCAAGTATTCTTTGAGGTTTCGACTTTAGCGCTAATTGTACAGATGGCGGCGTGGCCAGACTGGCATCAGTAAGCTGCTGCGCATATGGAAACTGTTTTCAACCGAAACTGTGCTTGTATGCATTACTTCGTTTCTTTTTTTTTATATACATTATTTCGCTTTTAATACGAAAGTATGCGTATGCATAATTTCGGTATTTTCTCATGTGCATTATTTCGGTTTGAACAAGTCATGTTTGCGTGGTAGTATCCCAAACCATCCCATATTTCATTAACAAACTAGTGAGCCCGCATGGCGCCAAAACGCCAACATTTAATTAAATTTTTTAAACAGGTGAAACCCTATTCAAAAACCTCTAAAAATATTACTAATGATTAATCTAACCATTTCTGAGTGATGAGAGGTCTCGCAAGGCCTCGGTTTTCATGTAACTTCAAAAAATAAAACCTGTGCACATCTATGTAGAATCCCAGTTCGTTAATTTCACTTCTCATTTTGGAAATTCGAAAGAACGATATCTGCATCGGATGACTTTCAAAAAAAATAGATGGCAACTCTTATTAAAAATAT